GGGCGGGGGGCGGGGAGGGCATCCCCGCCCCGTTGCCATCCCTAAGAGGAAGAATGGAAGAAATGTAAAATTGAGAATAGATGAACACCATAATATTTTGAAGTTTTAATTTAATTAGGACTATAATTGTAAAATTGATGTGGTGTATTTATGAAAAATATAATTTATTTGAAGTATAGTTATAATGTGGTGTAATAAATAATATTTGTAGTGGCAATATAATTATCCTTGGATTTTAGGTGGTTATATTGACACCATATTTTATTTACCTTAAATGTCCATCACATTTATTATTATTACATTTTTGTCCTTTACTCATGTCCGTAATGATGGTTTCTATTCAAAAATTATGTGAGCGTGCTTTTAAAATGAGGGATATATATTAGTTGTAATTTTGAAATTTTTTTATGGCATATTTAAAAATTCGAGGGACAAATAAGTTATGTTATTCTTGCTTAACCAATTTTTTTTGACGGAAATCGCATTAAAGACAAGATGTAATATTTTAATGGAAAATCGATGATAAAAATGTGATGAAAGAATATTTGAAATATTAATATGATAATAAATAAATGTTATAAAAATTTTATGCAATTAAACTTTAGTGTACATATAAAAAAAATGAAGTTATATGCAGTAGCTCACTTTTGTAGTCGTCCTACGAGACATATATGTGGCAATTAATGATTTGATACATTAGACAATAAAAAACTATCACATTAATATATATATATGACGATGTTTGATTCCCATTTTTCTCAAAATACATTTTCTCCTCTTTTTTTTTCAATCACACATTTTTCATTAAAATAATATTACAAACAAATAATTTTTTTTTTGTTTTTTTTTAATCACATATTTTCTATTAATCTACTATTTCAAAATACATTTTAAAAAAATAATGGGGCTCAAACACCTTCTATCTGGCCTGCCTTTGATTTATAGGGCCACTCAAAGGACTTCATTGTCATTTACGTTCAGGTCCACACTTCAAATTTTTAAACACTCCGTATTGCTCAACGGTCATCTCTTCGAAGACTAACGGTTCTATTCTATCAGCATTTGAACCAATCCTCTACTCTCTCTCTCTCTCATACAACCACACAGATAACGAACTGTTTGTAAATTGTAATCTTCAAATTTTTTTCACTCAGAATTTCTGTCGCAAATTGAATTATCGAATCATGTTGAAGTCCAAGGCTGAAATCTCAGAGAACAGATACTTCGGAAGCATATCTGCCTCCGTCGCACCATTCAAGAATTTATTTCCTAAATCGAAGCAAAACATGAATTTAATGCGCCGTGCGAAGTCCAAATCGAACAGTGAAAACATTGCACCCCCGGATCCAAACATTCAGATCAGCGATCCTCCACTGTCAGGTTCAATTTCATTACCCAAAAAATCACCTAGAAAACCCTTTGTAAATCCCTACAAAGTGGAAGATACCACCTCCGTGGTGGAAGATAAAGCACCCAATGCCCCAGATACAATTGTCAAGGTACTTGAACTCGACTCTTTCAGTTTCCATTTCATGAATCCTAGACAGTGGAACTGGAATCTCGAATTGATTATATTTTTAGGTTAAATCATGTTCAATGGATGTTAATTCTCTTACCTGGGTATTTCGATAGGATTATACTCCAATTAGGTTTGGTACTAAATAGTGAAATTGTTTAATTTTAATTTCGTGGTTAACTGTTTAGGTTATAATTTAAATGTGTTTGATTTTTGGGTGTGTGGATAGGTTGTGGCGAGATTAAGGCCCAGTAATTACTATGGAGGTGGATTTCAGACGGTTAGAAAAGTTTCTAACGATTCAGTATCTGTTGGTGACAGAAAGTTCACCTTGGATGCGGTTTTCGACTCGAATTCAACTCAGGTTTGGAATCATTTTCAGCATTTTTATTTCTCCAGTATTCTATTTTTAAGTTTACCAACAAATAATTTTAAAAAACGTGGAAATCGAAATTCCAGATTGTTTCTATTGAATTAATTTTAAAAAATACATAAAGGGCTAGTTTGATTTTTGAAGTTGTGGATCATCTGTAATTTTAGGAGGAAGTATATCAATTAGTTGGTTCCCCTATCGTGAAGGATGCATTGGCTGGCTACAATACATCACTCTTGGCTTATGGACAGGTAGCTTTGGCTGACTTTTAATCCATTTTTGCTATGTCTGTCTGTTTATTTTGATGTGATTTGGTGTGTTTTACTAGACTGGGAGTGGAAAGTCTTACACAATGTGGGGTCCCCCAAGTGCCATTGTTGAGGGTCCATCAGCTAGTGGTCTTCAGGGTATTGTGCCTCGCATTTTTCAAAGTTTGTTCTATGAGATTCAAAAAGTAAGTTGTATCTCTCGGTGGACTAAGAAAAATGAGATCTGGTGATATGGAAATTGGGACTAATTGTTATTTGATTTTTTTAATCACATAGGAGCAAGAGAATTCTGATGGTAAACAGATAAATTACCAATGCAGATGCTCGTTTCTTGAGGTAAATATTTTCATTTTCCTAAGAAGCGTTATGAAAAGTATTATATCATTGCATTGACTGTAATATGTATGATTTGCTGCTACAGATATATAATGAGAAAATTGGAGATCTACTGGACCCGACACAGCGAAATCTAGAGGTGCATTTTATCTCTTCTCTTCAAAAGAGACAGTAAAACAATCTTCAGTTTTATGTTTTCAATTTGTTAATGCATCTTTTTAATGTACACATTATAATAAAACTGGACGGTTCAAATTTTACAGATAAAGGATGATGCCAAATATGGATTTTACATAGAGAACTTGACTGAGGAGTACATAACCAGTTATGAGGATGTCATCCAAATTTTGATTAAGGTAGCAAACATAAAGAATGTCAGAAATATGGACTTCGTATTTCATTTGGAGGATGCTTCTAGCAGTTTTATTTACCACTCAAAGTCTGAGTTAATTTTATACTGCAGGGGCTTACGAATAGAAAGGTTGGTGCTACAAGCATAAATTCCAAGAGTTCCAGATCACATACTGTATTCACGTTCACAATTGAGTCCTGGTGCAAGGTAACATTGGCAAAGTACTTTAGTTTCAAGTAATTTTAGAAATTGTCTAATATAGTCTTCGTTTTTGGAACTAAATCTTTGTTGTTACTTTTAAGCTTAGAGAATATTCACTCAGTAACTTTACACTTTGGTTTATGGGCATACATGTGAATATAATTATAGTGGTTTTAAACTGAAAGCTGGTAGTCTTGAACAAGTTAACCTTAACTAAAAATTCATTCTTTATGCAAGCATTTTCAATACTCGGTTTGTTTGATATTCAATTCGACTTTTGATACAAATATTTTACATTCTTTCAATACATTGCCTCAGGAATCCTCATCAAAATGCTTTGGTAGTTCCAAGACTAGTAGAATCAGCATGGTAGACCTCGCTGGTTTTGAGAGAACTTTACTTGACGATGCTAGCAGACAGCATGTGAAAGAAGGAAAGTACATAAAAAAGTCCACATCACAACTCGGGTATATNTCTTGAGGTAAATATTTTCATTCTCCTAAGAAGCGTTATGAAAAGTATTATATCATTGCATTGACTGTAATATGTATGATTTGCTGCTACAGATATATAATGAGAAAATTGGAGATCTACTGGACCCAACACAGCGAAATCTAGAGGTGCATTTTATCTCTTCTCTTCAAAAGAGACAGTAAAACAATCTTCAGTTTTATGTTTTCAATTTGTTAATGCATCTTTTTAATGTACACATTATAATAAAACTGGACGGTTCAAATTTTACAGATAAAGGATGATGCCAAATATGGATTTTACATAGAGAACTTGACTGAGGAGTACATAACCAGTTATGAGGATGTCATCCAAATTTTGATTAAGGTAGCAAACATAAAGAATGTCAGAAATATGGACTTCGTATTTCATTTGGAGGATGCTTCTAGCAGTTTTATTTACCACTCAAAGTCTGAGTTAATTTTATACTGCAGGGGCTTACGAATAGAAAGGTTGGTGCTACAAGCATAAATTCCAAGAGTTCCAGATCACATACTGTATTCACGTTCACAATTGAGTCCTGGTGCAAGGTAACATTGGCAAAGTACTTTAGTTTCAAGTAATTTTAGAAATTGTCTAATATAGTCTTCGTTTTTGGAACTAAATCTTTGTTGTTACTTTTAAGCTTAGAGAATATTCACTCAGTAACTTTACACTTTGGTTTATGGGCATACATGTGAATATAATTATAGTGGTTTTAAACTGAAAGCTGGTAGTCTTGAACAAGTTAACCTTAACTAAAAATTCATTCTTTATGCAAGCATTTTCAATACTCGGTTTGTTTGATATTCAATTCGACTTTTGATACAAATATTTTACATTCTTTCAATACATTGCCTCAGGAATCCTCATCAAAATGCTTTGGTAGTTCCAAGACTAGTAGAATCAGCATGGTAGACCTCGCTGGTTTTGAGAGAACTTTACTTGACGATGCTAGCAGACAGCATGTGAAAGAAGGAAAGTACATAAAAAAGTCCACATCACAACTCGGGTATATTCAATGAACATCTTTGAAGCATAATTGAGATTGTCATTATGGTTGTCTAGTGTTTGTTTCTCCTTATATGCTTAATTTTTTTAATAGATTGCAATATTCCTAGCTATTTTAGCACATATATGCAGTTATTATATGTCAACTGTCAAGTGACTGCTGAACACCTTGAAACCTCTTAAGCATTTAATGCGCCCTAAGATTAAGGTGGTGTCACCGGTCAGAAAATGTTGGAATAAAAAGTTATCAATATGTGAAGAAATAATTTACTTGCAGAATGATATTAAAGGCGAGAGTAGTTGTGATTATAGTGTAATCCTTATTGCCTTTTTTGTTTTTTATATCTTAATCCAATTTACCAATTACTGATATATAGCTGCACGTAAAATATTTAGGGCGTGTTCAGTAGAGATTAAAATAGGATTAAAATTGAAAAATTAGTCGTTATTGTTGACTTTTATTAGACGAGTGGGACCCAATAACGACTATATTTTCAATTTTAATTGGATTTTAATCTTTACCAAACGAGCTCTTAGTTTACATAAGCATATGTTTATATGTAATCTTTCTTCGGGTACAATAAAAGGACAATAAAAAATTATTGTACAATATGTTTTTGTGATAATCTTATGTATTCCTTTTATTGTATTTTTATGATAGAGTTGTCTTGACCCAATTCTTCAGAAACTGGTGTATGGTTGAAAATGAAATATATTAATTCACATATATTTATGCGCAATTGACTAAAAATCTCTGATTGCCGCAGGCACTTGGTAAACATCCTTGCAGAGAGAAGTAATTCTGGGGGAGCCGAAGATGTTCCATATAGAAGTTCTTGCCTAACTCATGTGTTGAGAGAATCATTTGGTGGCAATGCCAAACTCTCCATTATGTGTGCCATTTCTCCTGATAACAGGTACAGGACAATACTAACCTTTTTAATACAAGAAAAATAGATGTAATATGGTCTTGGGGACGGATGTTCATAATAAAGAAAACTGATGCATGTAATTTTGGTTTTAATGAAATTCTACACATCTGGATATAGATAAATGACAAGCCCATATCATTTCGTGTCTTCCATTTTTCATCTTTTTCTTCTTCCACCATTCATACCTTTTTCATGTAATTGAATCTTTTATTTCTTTTCATGTAGGAGCAGTGGTGAAACAATAAGCACACTTAGATTTGGACAGCTGGCAAAGCTCGTGAAGAATGAACCTGTAATAAATGAAATAACAGAAGATGATGTTGATGATCTCAGCAACCAGATTCGCCAGCTGAAGGTACTTTTACTTGTTGCTATGGGAGCCATTTTTCTATTAAGAAGTTATTTTTTGAAATTAAATACTTAAATGTCTTTGTCCAATGCAGGAAGAACTTATAAAAGCTAAGTCCATTTCACGCAACTCATTCACTAGCAATCAAAGGAACTTCAGAGGGCAAAGTGTTCGTGAAAGTGTGAATCAGTTAAGACTGAGCCTGAATCGTTCACTGATCTTACCATGCAAAGACAATGATTCTGAAAAAGAAATACCCGTCAATGAGGATGACTTAAAAGAACTAAGATTTCAGATTGATAATTTACATAGTTCACATGAAGAAAATTCTGAGAACAGAGACTGCAATCAATTATACTCTGCAGAAGGTTGTGAGACAGATCAGGCCTGTGAACATTACTTGAGCTGTTCAGAAGAAAGCGACCTTGAAGAAATTAGTTCAAGAGTATCTCAAACAGAAATTCCAGATCTAAACAACACCATATCAGTGGGTGACCTCGATAGTATCCCGAAGAAGTCAATGGTCATTCATCCTTCATTAAGCAGTAGCTTTTCAATCAGTGAATGCCCTCATCGTGCAGTCCTCCAAGATCCTGTGTTCTCTGAGTCTCCAAAAATAAGTACTCAAAGGAAAAGCACAGTTTTCTCAGCAAATCATCGGTCGAATCAGGATGTTGTGACCTCCAAAAATCTGGATGTCAGACAGTCGAATCAACAACATGATCATATTAAATCATCCTCTCTAAGGTCTTCTAGAATATTTCCAAGCCCAACTGAATCCTTAGCTGATAGCCTGAACAGAGGCTTACAGATCATTGACCACCACCAGGGGAACTCTGCATCAACTAGATCATTAGCTTCCTTCTCTTTTGAACACTTTGCACTCAAATCCTGTCCATCAACTGAAAAGGTCAATGCTTCTGTTCAAACCTCACCACATGACGAACAATCTTCAGATGCACCTTTTGCTTCCTTTGTCTGTATGACATGCCAGGGGAGAGAAATTTCTGCCTCTAATGAAGCTTTTAATAGATTATCAACTCAAGTGACCAGGGTAGGTCAATTACTACGTCATAATCTTTGTTTGTGCTGTCAGTTAATTTACTTTTCTTTCCATTGTCCTCTTTTAGCTTGATGTAGAGAGAGATTTGGCTATGGCTATTAAGAGAGAGAAGGAGCTTGACAGTATTTGCAAGGAGCAAGCAGCTAAAATAGAGCATTTAAACCTATTGGTAATAAATTCTTGTACTCTATAAAGTTTCAAACCTGTTTAATTATAATATACACATTTCGGATAAACTGATTTATTGCAGCTAGAGAAATGCAATTGCACGACAAATGAGAATCCTACCAATAAGCACAAAATTGAGAAATGCAACTCACCAATTAACGAAAATAAGGTTAGGAATTTTACTATCTTCTGAATGGTAATGATTCTTTTGTCATCTATTGCTTATCATCTGTGTTCTTATGCATCTCTATTTGTTCATTCACAGCTTCTGACATGGGATGGTCATGAAAACCATGAGCCGGAGTTTATAAAGGAGAAGTGTGAAATAAAAGAAGTCCAGGAAGAGTTAAATCTCAGCAGGGAGAAAGAATCCTTTGATGTGGAAGAGAGGGAAGCACTTCTCAAAGAAATTGAGATTCTAAAGAGCAAATTGCAGTCATATACTGTTACACCTACAAACAGATCAGTTGACAGATGCAGATCCTCTTCGTTGTCGCAGTCAATCCAGTTGAGAAGAAGTAGTGCATGTGCTCGAGGTAATAGTGAGGAAGAATTTGAAAAGGAAAGAATAGAATGGATGGAAATAGAAAGTGATTGGATTTCATTAACTGATGAATTGAGAATTGAAATCCAATCTAACCGTCAACAAGCAGAAAGGGTGGAGATGGAGTTGAGATTAGAGAAGAACTGTACAGAGGAATTGGATGATGCACTCAAAAGAGCTATCATTGGGCATGCTAGATTGATCGAGCACTATGCTGACCTGCAGGAGAAGTACAATGACTTGGAGGGAAAGCATCGAACAGTTATGGAAGGGATAGCAGAGGTGAAAAGGGCAGCTGCAAAAGCAGGAGCCAGAGGTTGTGGTTCTCGTTTCGCAAAGTCACTAGCACGGGAGCTTTCAGTTTTGAGGATGGAAAGGGAACGGGAGAGGAAGCTACTGCAAAAGGAGAATCAGAGTCTTAGAATTCAGATCAAAGACACTGCAGAAGCTGTACATGCTGCAGGTGAACTACTTGCTAGGTTGAGGGAAGCAGAGGAAGAGACTTCAGTGGCTGAGGTAACTATATTTCTGTCATGCTTTCCTATGATCCTTATTCTTTTTGTGTTGTCAATACAGCCTATATGCTTGCCTTTGGTTGCTGAGATCATATACTTTCCAGTCTTTCAGTCTGAAAGAAAAGGCTACCTCTGTACCTCATTTATGATTGTTTCCAGTATGAAAGTTTCTTGTTGAAGACATAAATTAAATAAATAAATTCTTCTTCTCTTTTACAATAGCTTAAACTTTTAGATAAGGTGAAACAATATAGCAAATGTCTCGAATTCAACTGAAAATTGTGCATGTGCAAGACTTTGATGAAAAATTGAATTATGTCTGCATGTGAGTGGCCTGTTGAAGATAATTTAAGTAAATAAATCTTTTCCCCTCCGCAACAACTTAAATTTTTAGATGATGTGGTTCAATATTTTGAGAAAGCTGTCAAATCGCATTTCCTGATTTTTCCCCTATCATTGCAGGAGAAGAATACTATGATCCAGGAAGAGAATGAAAATTTAAAGAAACAAATAGAGAAGCTGAAGACAAAGCACAAGATGGAGATGAGCACAATGAAACAGTATCTTGCAGAGAGCAGATTGCCTCAAGCAGCATTACAGCCTCTTTATCATGAAGACTCCAATTTAATACACCAAGATACAACCCCAATCCCTGACGATGATCAATCTTGGCGAGCCGAATTTGGAGCAATATACCATGAACATTACTGAGTCAATTAATAATCATCCTAGGAGGAAACCTTAAGTGCATTGGACCCTACTTGGGTCACCTGCATTCACACATTCACGCACTTTTCTCCTGTGCTTGCTTGTGAAGCTCTGCGTACAACACCTTTTACATTTCATGTTTTAGCAAATTTGATTTCTGTTGTTAGATGGACAATTATTGTGTGTATTAACAAAATATCTATATGTTATGAAAGTAAATAACTGTTTTGATGATTGTTATTAGAGCGTGTTAGCTAACAGTAAAACTAAGCGAAAGTTACTTTTTCAAATTAGAATTTCGATATTTGTATTGACAACATATCTTTGTCTCTTACAAAAGTAAATATCTGCTTTGATATTTGTTCTTCTTAGAGCATGTTTGGATAACAGCAAAAAATAAGTGAAAGTTTCATTTTCAAGTTCAAAATCGTCACTTTCTTTTTACTTTTATAAAAAATTATTTATTTTTGAAAATAAATCTTGCCTTTACAATGATTTCGAGTCCAATAGGTTGAGGACTAACGGTGCAATTATCCTTTTATTGTCGTTAAAAGAGAGTGCAATGGGAAACGACGACGTAGTGCAGAGGAGGGTATATGCGAACAAAATATCTCATCTCAAACATCCTAAAACGTTTCAGAAGTTAAGAAGTTGAAAACCTTGTATTCACCGAAAATTAGGGTTTATAATTTCAAAGATGTCGACGCCGGCGAACAATCCGAGTTCCGACTCCGACTCTGAAGTCGAGAACGTTCCAAATCCTACATCTAACTTGTCTTCTGATGCACTAACTGCCAGCACTGCCGCCAATCCGTCGAGTCCGCCACTGGTTTGCCTTCTTCGTTTCGCCGGTGACTCAGCCGCCGGCGCCTTCATGGGATCCATTTTTGGCTACGGTAACCTAATTTTTGGTTTTTCTACTATTTTATTTGGCTTTTCTTTTCTTGTTTAGCTATTTAAGTAGAGTATACATGTGTTGGTTTAAAGCTGGGGTATTTTAACAATTCACCGAGCTTCCGTTTGGCACTAATGGAATATTTTTCAGGAAAAATGTAGATAAAATTGTGTTAGTTATATTGTCCAGAGTATTGCCAAACATGTAATAGCAGTTCAATTGTATATGCCTATATGAAACATGTCTCATAGACATGGAGAATGGCTTTTTAGTACTCTTATTAATGTATTTGTAATGATATTGCTATTTCCTGTTTAATCTTACCGTGCGTGACGATATATGTCTTCACCCTTTCCTCTATTTCAGATATTAGTGAAATAATTTTCGAGTAGTTAAATTTGAATACTTTGAACTATGATTAAGGTGAACTCCGAATGCCAGGTTATACAAATGTCGTAATTGTGTTGTGGGCTTACCCTGATGTAGAGCTTGTGAGAATATACACTATTAGAACTTGGCACTCTGACGAGATTAAATCTACGCAGATCATGTGGACACTGTTTATTCAGATTATCATTGAAACTATGCTTATATCGACTAAAACTTCATTATCAATTCAAAAATTCATGATTAAGAGTGTGTTTGGGACACATTCTTTTGAAAGAATGTATTATTGAATAGTAGATTGAAAGAGAATATGTGGTTAAAAATGAAGGAAAAGTTATTGATATGATGGAAAATATTATTTTATTGAAGAATGTGTAGTTGAAAATGAGTAGAAGAATGAGAATGAAAAAAATAATGTGTACCAAACAGGGCCTAAAAAGCTAGTCATTCCTATTTCTTCTAGTTGGCCTACTGGGATATTAAGGAAAAATTCCTGCCTTCTGAGTTTGCAACAGTTGATCAAAATATGATATGACTTGATATGTGTCTCAGGTTCAGGATTAATTAAAAAGAAAGGTTTGAAAGGATCATTTTCTGAGGCAGGATCTTCTGCTAAGGTATGGAAACTGTAATTGTTGGTCCACTTTGAACTTTCTCATCCATGACTTTAATGGCACGGATTTCTTGTCTTAAATCGCTTTGATATTACTTTGCATTCCAGACATTTGCGGTTCTGTCTGGAGTTCACAGTTTAGTTGTATGCTTTATGAAGAGGTTGCGGGGGAAAGATGATGGTAAGACATCTTCATTTGAAAATAAATTCTTAGATTGACCATTCTATTTCATGTGGCTCTTCTTTCTCTACAGTCATCAATGCAGGAGTTGCGGGATGTTGCACAGGTCTTGCTTTAAGCTATCCAGGTATTTTGCCCTCTCCACACTCCCTCCTTTCTCCAGGGTTGAATATGCGATATATGCACCCTGAAGGAATTACTAATACCTTAGTTAGAGAATGACTTGATATGTTTCAGAATTCTCAAGCCCCTTTGCATCGTAAGGCTAGTGTGGCCAAGCACTTGTACTCTCTGTGATGCCATCTTTATTCCCATTCATTAACAAGTCATTCTATAATTTTTTGTCTGCGTATAACTGATAGATGACATCTGTAAGCATTCATAGGTTGATTTTTTTCTCATTAATTTATTACTGTTTTAAATAATGCAATTAACTCTTAAATCCATGCTCGGATTTCCTGCTTTATTTCATAGTCAATTTTGAATTCTGAACCGAACTTCATTTGGGAGCCTACAAATCTCGAATTTGTCTTCATAAAGCTTAGTTAAAGTTAATTTCATCAATTTGAAGCCAATGCTGCTTAATAATGGCTTCCAAAGTGTTCAAAATTAGGTCGACCATTATGGTGTGCTTCTGGTGTTAATTTGCCTTGTTTCTTCTTACAGGTGCCCCACAAGCTCTACTTCAAAGCTGTCTCACATTTGGGGCGTTCTCATTTATTATCGAAGGTCTGAACAAGCAGCAGCCTGCACTTGCTTTGCCGGCTTCCTTGGGCAGCAAGGGCAGCAAAGGAAGGCCCTTCGATGTGCTTACTCCTTTGGCAATTCCCCTTCCTCGCGAACTTAAGGAGTCTTTTGCTTCTTTTTGCCAAACTTTGAGAAAATGAGGCAATCTTGGAAATATTTATTCCATTAAGAATATCAGTTTAATGCTCTTCTATTTTCAATTTAGTGCATCATGCATGGCAACAAAATGTTTTGTTAAGTAGTGATGAATAATAAAAACTCTCTTTATGTCCCAGTTATATATGTAAGCTGAATTACGAAGTGTTCTCTTCCACTGTTGTGCCATCCAAATATTAGACATAATTACCTGGAATTGTTCGACGAGCTTGTAGAGTACTGGTATTTTGAAAATGGTGCACAACTTTGTGAAAGAAATGCATTATTGCACTTTGACATTAGGTCCTGCTTGGTATAGATTAAAATTTGATTTTAATCATGAGTTAAAGTTAATAATTAATTTTAATCACATTATATGGAATTCACAATTTATCATGCACATATTTCAACAATTTTTATTAAAGATTTAATTTTAATCTATATTAAAAAGGTGTTAGAGCATCTCCAATAAACTTAAAATATAATATCCAAAGGACGGATCAAAGGATAAGGTTGTTACTCCTTAAAATTAGTAAGACGAAGCTTGAACATTTGAGTCACCAGAAGAAGAATATAACATCCTCTCTATTTAAAAAAAAATAGGTGTTTTACAAGAGACTCTAATTTAATCTTTTAAACAATTCTTACTTTATAATGACTAATGAGTGCATGAAAAAATTTAAAGAATTTGATAATCTATTTTTTAATTTATTCAAATCAATTGGTAAATTTAATATAAAAATGTTAAATAAAAGTTGAGGAGAAATTAATGAATATTTTTTCTTAAAAAAAGTGGAACGAGGAGTAAAAAAATAGAGTATTGTTGAAGTATATAAAAAATTTACTATTTAAATTTAAAAATGTTATTTTCCATCAGAATGTCGATGTATGCGATATCGTTTATAAGTACATCGAATTTGTCATGTTCGATTTGTTTTCTCTTTCTATTTAAATTTAAAAATGTTATTTCTTAAATATAAGATACTCTTTATAAAAAAAAGTGATTTTGATTATAACATAAAGACATGTTTTTATTAATGGATTAAACCGAGCATGTTGTCACGGACTTGTTGTTTTCTCCAAGCATCGTGCAGCACTTAGTGTCTCCAATTTCCGCCCCTGCGGTTTTTACACTAAGTTTGCCTCCCGACTAGCTTTGATGTCTTAGAAAGACACCGAGTAGAAAGAATTTAAAGGAGGAACATAAGTGTTTATAATAAAAGTTTTATATTGAACAAAGAAGCTTTACAATTTCACTCTCTCCATCCAAGCAAATGAATGAATTTACCAAACTATTTATAGGCAAAGTCTTTCTAATGGATGGCTATGATTAATTTGATCCAACGGTCTACGTTCCGTTTTTAGAATTTTCTACAAGTATCCATAATAAAATATGTACATATAATTAACTAGAATTATCTAAAATAATCCACAAGTATAATACTTGTCAATTATCTAGGATTCTCTATTACCTTCTAATTAGTTTCATGAGCCATCATAGTACAACATTCTGGATTAGTTTCAAGACCCCGTTGTTCTAGATAACTCTATCATCTTTGCCATGAGACGAACGGGTCGTGACAATGTGCTAGCATGTTTGAAAAAGATTTGGCTCTACTTGGCTCACCAACTCACCTTTTGACAGGGTGAGCCGAGCCAAGCCAAATTGTGAGCCTCTCGTCAACCAACTTATATATATAGCCCTTGTTCGAGAGTCTTTAATTTGATATTTTAAAGTGTTCTTAATTTATTGAACAATGGTATATTAATTATCTTTTCACGATTTTAATTTGTTGTACAATACTTCCATCCGATGAAAAATACTTCTCCATTCATGCCCTCAAAGAACCAATTCGTAATTACAACGTTGCCCTTTTTTGGGGGATAGTTTTGAAATCTTACGAATTTGTATTTAAAAAATGTTAACTATTCCAAATGATGGCCCGGTGATAAAAATGCACATAATAACACAATGGCCCACTTTCACTATAAAAAAAAGTTATTTGCTAGCAAAAAAAAAAAACCGTCAAACGTGTAAATAACATAAAATGTGTACTCTTTAAATTAAAATGCCGAATACTAATTGTTTTTTTTTCGAAACTTGGCCATTGTTTGATCCCTCATTATTTTCAAAATACATTTTTTACTTCTTCTTTTTCAACTACATATTCATCAATAAAATAATATTATATGTAAATTCCAAACTTTTGCTTATTTTTTAACTACACATTTTTTATCAATCTACTATTCTAAAATGTATTCTTACAATAAAATGGGGCTCAAACAGGCTTTTAATGTAGCCTAAAAATCTTTAAAAAATATTTTTCGTAAAAAGTGTGATAAATTAAGCCCATGTTTGGTGATATTTAATTTAATTTAATTTAATGTATTTTTTTTATACTTATTTTCAATCACACATTTAGAGTCTGTCTGACATTCATTTTCAGCATGAGAAAATCAATTTTGGAGCCCTTTTTTTTGACTTTGTCTCACAAGCTTGCAGGCCAAGAAAGTGATAATTGTACCGTTGAAGCACTCAACGGTCAAAAAAGCAATTTTCATCTCAAATTTTAGCTCTACCAGACATACCCTTAACTAATAAAATATTCTACACGTAAATTGAAAACTTTGCTATACTTTTTTAACCCCACGTTCTCCAAAAAATATTATTTATAACAATTTTTTTACATTTTAAGACCAACAAACAAGGGCCAAATTTAGAGCCGTGTACAAATTTTCCTCATTTATTCGAGTTTGGAAGTAGCTACATGATATGTAATGGTGCACGAATTAATATTTCGTGTACAATTTAAAAATATATATAGAAATGTTACATAAGGTAATAAACTCAAAACTTACAATTTTGCATACAAGAAAAAACATCGAGATTATAATTGTTTGAAATCTTGAGCAATTACTCTACAATCTTATTTTGAATTCGATACTCTGCATCTTGCACAACCTATTTCCTTTTTATTTGACAGAACCCAACTCTTTGTACTAAACATCAGTACAAAATCGTCTCCTATGGCACCGTGAATTAGAGATGGTGCGACCCAGGATCCAGCGGGTGCCATAACTTAATGATTGAAAAAGCAACGGAAGGTAGTCGAGCCTTGTTCGAGTGAAACCCGCGAGCTTACGGGATCGTTATACAAAAAATAAAATTTGTGAGTTAAGAGTATCGTTTCCACGAAGAATAAAGTCTAATTTGTAATTCAATAGCTACTATTAAATTCGAAGTGTGGTGATATTAAAAGAGATAGTTTATACGTAATCTATATTAATCCTAACTAACAAAACAAATAAAGTATTTATTTAATAAGTAAATGTTTGTATTGGAATTGTGAATCCCCTCTATTACTATTTAATTTAATTTAATTCTTAATTTGCAATCTAATAAATTCATGCATTCAAGACAATTGATAATCCACTATTATTCAATATTATTTTCTAAGATATATTAAACATATGTTTAACACGACCCGATCATATTTTTAGTCCGAATTCATATAAAAAAACATAAATTGATTCACATGATTTACCACACATGATTGCACATACCACAGATATTATTCCTAATACATATTGCCCATGTGTTGATTTTGCAGCGTTCTAAACTTATTGTGAGTATTCTTACACTATAACAATTAACTTACTATATAATTGGTGATCAATCAATCAAATAGTTCAATAGGAATGCAAAACCAATTAAGAAAAATCAAGAAATATTAAACTAATTATCTTGAATTAAAGTAAACAAAAATAGGATTCATCGTTCATCAAATATAATGAAAAACTTAGTCTAACATACTTATAATTAAATTATACAAGAATAATTGGAAAAACAGCACCCCGAAAATAAGAAAGATGGAAGAAACAGGAGAAATCCGCGTTCTTGGCTCAAATCTTGAAATTGGGCTATAAATCTTCAAAATCCTTGTATAATTCGCCTTAAATTGATGTATAGACTTGATTCTTTGCCTCCAAAATATGTAGAATATGATGAAATTTAGGTTAAAAAGAGGTCTCTCCACGTTCTAGTCGAGGTTGGTATTTAAAAGATGCAAAAAAAGATTGCATTTATTACCAAAACAAAAATAAGGAAAATCAGATTTTCCCTTTTAGCCTTGAGACGTGCCTAGTGTAACCTATGCCCTCATGCTTTGGGGGTTTGGGCAGCCTCAGGCGAGGCTACCTTGATCTGGGACGTGCACCACTTCTGCAGGCGAGGGCGCGTGTCTCTCCTAATTTTAGGCAGCTGAACAGTTCTCAATATTTTTATTATAACTTTCTCTCGATATCCGATTGAGGTAATTCAAAGTGCATTGAAAAAACAACTCAAATATACAAATCTTCAAGAAATACAATGTTTTCAATTCGAACATTTCCTACACAAAAAATGGATCTCAAACTAAAACTGAAAATTCAAAACATAACTTTTTTAGATGGAAGTTGATATGTGATAGTACTTAGACTGTATTTCATCCCTTTTGACTTCTTTCCTCATCCAATTGATGTCACTCTCAAATCTTCATTGTGAGGTTCGACGTAACTTTTGAGTATTTACATTTCAGTTCCCGAACTTTGTATTTGATACAATTGAGCCATTTTCTGCTATCTTTTGATTCTTTTCTCCAATTCTTCATCAACTATTGAGTTTTACCTACAAAATGAAATATCACACACGTTAGGTAATATTTTATCTAAAGAATAGCAAAATATCATCATTTAGGATCTCGAATAAGTGTAAAAACTACCCTTATCAAGCCTATTAACTTTCGAATCAATTCTTGCAAATCAAAGAGCGAGACACGAAAATATTATAGCTTGACTTGCCTTACAACTCGCATTGGTTGTGAGCCGAGCCGATGAGCAGCTCGGCAATTTACACATCCTGGTGCGACCGTGTCCTAGGCTGCTAGCAGTTAACAATAATTTAGAGGCATACGGATGTTGTTTTCTCAAAAGTGAAAGGGCACCTGTGTAATTTTGTCGACTAGGG